TTCACTAACTATCTTATACCTAGCTAATCAGATTCACGACCCATTCATACGTTAACCCATTCACCACAAGAACTTGTCCATCACCACCAATCCTTCATGCACCATAATACCAGATTCTCACCAGGGGACCTACCAAAACGCGCCCCAAACCATAAAAATTGGATGATGAAAAACATTCTACATAAAAATCTAATAATGATACAATGAGAGGGAGGGAGATGAACCCCGAAAATAACTAAAAATATACAACCGTCCAACCCTCAAAACAGGAGGGTTGCTGTATTTCTGCCCAGAGGACAAAATCAAGAAGCACTCTCCCTTAAGGGTTCCTGAAAAGAGGATAAAATATTATACGACATGGGAAATGTAAAGCTGATCCAATCGAGATGAAAGGGGACCAAAACAAACTGGGAGGTTGGGAATCTCCACTTGGACCATAACCAAAGAGCAGCCGGGATACAGGCCAGGAACAACCTTACTCACATTAACTAGGTACACTGAAGCCCTAACCAATGGAAGCGATGTGCTATAGGTTGACTTAAAAAAGAAAAATCAAGGCTAGCCCCGGTCACACGAACCAGGCTTGCCCCACCTTTCGCTGAAGACTGTCCTGCAATCGTTTTCTATCAGATCTCGATGCTCCCTGCCCTAAGAAAGACGGTTGCCCCGCAAGACTTCCTCCATTTGGTCACCATTCGAGCCGTGGCCTCAGCATCAGAAACACCATTCGTTTCTCCCCGAATACCTTCACATTGTCACACGCGTATGCGCGATCCATGGACACTAGCTGTTCGGGAGCGAGACGAGCCGTCAGCTCGCCGACATGGTCCCATAAGGGGCGGACCCAGGGGCAATGGTACCCGCGCAGCCTTTCTTCTAAACCAAGACCACTCACAGTCTGGCAAATCCGCCAAACCCCATATGAAAGCCTTGTCATTGAGAGGCAGCCGATTCCGAGCCAATCGCCAGGTAAGCGAAAACTCAGGGTTACTGAGGTAATCCGCTCAGACAAGCCCTTCCTTCGCGGACCCTCCACTAAACCACGATAGAAGACCTTCCTAGGCCGTGAAAGGTCACTGACCGGGGAATGGCCCTCAAGGCCAACCGACACTCGTGGATGAAATCCGAAATCAACGGCGCTCGGCCCTCGAGATGGACTGATAGTACCCCTATCGGATCTCCCCTAGTCAATGCGCGGCGTAGGAAAGCCAACCTAGAGGCACGGATGTGACTCATAAATATATACCTATAACTAGTGAGCGAGTCAGAATGACTTATTTCCCTTTATAGTCGACCAATGGAAGGTTGACCAATCAGAAGACGTCCAACACTGTATTCGTCGTGTATAAAGGCGGCCATCTTGTTTCCTCCTACCGGAAGGACCAAAGGCGACCAAGAGAAGGATGAACTACACTCTGCTGTGATATCTACTGCGAACCTCCACTACGCTTTCCTACTGTCTCCGAAATATTCACTGCCAACCTCTAGATTCTATACTCGAGGACGACCGTCATGAAAATGTCTAACAGCTACTTGGTAAAGATCTTTGTTTCTGATTTTGTTGCGTTAATCTACAGAGCCAGATAGAGTTTTATCTTTAAAATCTAAAGATTTCATTCGCTGAACCCTTTTTTAGTCATTAATTTGATTGATTAATTGATTAGTTTGTTTAATGGCATAATTCTAATTTCTGTTTTTCTATCATTACACTATATTAATTTTATCTTATAAATTGTCCCCTGTTCTGTCAACCATGAAATAAAAAAAATTGTTTGTACAGAAAATAAAGACCTGTGCATATCAAATTGTCTTTAAATTAAGTGGCAGCAGAAGAATTATCGCTGAAATTTTAAAAGGTAAGCTTAACGATTCATTCAATACTTAAATACAACGATCAATTTTGAGTTCTTCTATAGTTTTGATGACTATCTAATCTACTCCTCCCTAGCTATTGTGATGATGGCCAAAATAAGTCCCCCACAGGAGCTAGCTTAAATGCCGCCCGATAGGGTGGGTGTTAAGCTAGTACTAATATGAAAACAAATAGATTGCATGTCGTCGTCGACTTACGATCATAATAGGTTAAGATCTAGTCGTAAGTCGCCTCTAACTAATTTTGCAATCATTTTATCTTGCTTTAGTCTTTATTTTATTTTTCATAATTCTAATGGTATTATAGACTCGTCCTGTTCGTACCTGCAACCCCTAGTAACAGAACAGTCTATATCTTACGCCTACGTACATTAAACTTCGACCAATTCAAACTGTATTAGGCGAATAAAGAAATTTCATTGGATAACGAAACGATCTAAATGTTTCACCCGCAGAAATCGAAATTGCGCCAAAACCTTTTGAGCCAACATTGGACCTTCGAAAACTTATATAAAGGAAAAACCGACTGACCAAAGCAGTCAGTGACAGCACCACAGAGAATTTGCTAACTTATTCCACGTCGTTCGAAACCAGACTTTGCCGCCCCAAAAAACACATCAGCGCTGACTCACTCACAATTCAACTCAACCAACTCTGTGGACACTATTTCTCAGATATTGCTTATCTAAAGTAAATTACATTTACTATCTATTAAGTAAACATTTATGTGCGAACAACCTTAAAATTATTACAGTGAAAGGTAAATTACTTCTTAAGAACTTTCTGTTTAAAAAGACACTTAATAATAACAACTTTGATATTAACATTAACGAACGCTAAAACATCATAAACATTTGCCAACATTACATATACGTAATATTCTGCTTGTATATCGTTTTGAATTGTATATAAATGTTTTATCAGTTTCTAATATAATATGTCTTGTTCTTAATATGAACTCTGGTACAAATATTTCCAAGTTAAAGGGACACGACTCTGTCCTACCTTTTCGTTGCATGCTTGTACGTCAACCTAAATAAATCTATTGTTAGGTTATAAAACAATTCAGTTGAATTTTGTATTTTATTTTGATGTTAGTGGAAATAGTTAATTGACACGCAACCTATTCTCAACAAATATTGCCACATAATTAATCCATCCACTACAGTATCACTATGTTTGATATCCTTTGCATCATCTATATATATATATATATATATATATATATATATATATATATATATATTGTTTATTTTTCTTATTTTTACGTTCGTCTAGTTTAAGTCAAATACTTACAGTATAGTGATGTGCCATGCGTGAAACACACTTGGGCGATCATGTATCTGTCGATGCATGACTGACGACTTATAGTACAGTTGTCTTAATATATGCTAAACACACGGAAAACCAAAATAGAGGTGCAAAAATACGAAATATTTTAGTTGTGAAAAATAACAAAATACATACCGGTTGTAACATCAAAACAGTTCAAATCGTGTAACGGCATAATTGTCTATCCCAAAAATGTTTAATACCTAAAAATCCTCTAATTGAGTTTCTTTTTGCTTGTTTTCAGATAAGACGTTTAACAATCTTGACACCCTTTGTCGTAATAATCACTGAAAAACCCTGTGAGTTATTCAGCGAGGAAGAGAACAGATAAAAACCGTTTTGTGCCAGCTTTCCCAACTGAGCAATGGTGAGCGGAAAAAGATCATTCAGGCTATCAGTAATGCTACTAACATTCATTCTCTGGCTTCCATCTTCAAGATTCATTTAAGAGCCATCAAGAGAAGGGCGAATATTTTTTTTAAAAAAAAGAGGGAACAGTAGAAAGGAAAACTGGATCAAGTGGTCGCGTCAGGAAGAGTGATCATCATTTCAACTTAGAGCTAAAGAGATCGTCTAGAAAATATCCAAATCAATCCATAAGTTGTTTGGCACGTGAGCTAGCATTTTCAGCTACGACAGTCAAAAGAGCAGTGAAAAAAGGATTGAAAATGAAATTGTACGTGAAACGTATGAGGCAGCTTGTTATTCTAAGATAGAATGTTAGAAGGTTAGAGAAGGCGAAGATCATCTCTGATAAGCTGGAAAATAAACCTGGAATAATATATATATATATATATATATATATATATATATATATATATATTTGGTTGGATAGATGTGAGTTTGTGACCCTGGGTTTCACGCTTTAGCGATCGTCAGACAAAGCGTAAAACCTAGGGTCACAAACTCACATCTATCCAACCAAATATGTTAGTCTATCTCTGATATTGAGCGCTTTCTAATAAGTACCGCGCATATAATAAATAAATAATCATACATATATATTTATTTATATTTATATACACTTTTCATATATATATATATATATATATATATATATATATATATATATATATATATATATATATATATTTGAGGGTGTATATAGGTGTGTGTGCGTGTGTGTGAATTTAATTTTAATACTTCATGAGCTTCCGATCCTTAGCTATGATTAATTAATGATGAACGTGTCATTTTCATTTATGATCGATTTCATCACTTCTCTTCTAAAACTTGTAGAGTAAAGATACATTCTTATTACTCAAAATAGAGTCTACTATTGATATAAAAACCTCGGATAATTCTAGTACGATATCTTTAATCATTCCCAAGATGCAACAGTTCAGAGCTTAATCTAATAAATGGTTAAATTTGCTTTTACACAAGTTGGACAATTTTGCTGTTACACGCGGTAAAAGCGCAAAGCATCATATCAGTTAGAATATCTTACAGCTTTACAAATTCTTTCTGTCCTTCAAAATCGTCAACATTGTAGCGTGGGATAACTTCAGGTCAAATGCAATCAACTTCTTTTAAAAAATTCCTTCGTTCTGTTTAATCATCTCGAAATCAATAGGCTTTTTTTTTCTATTCTTGCCAGTTTCAGGATTAGATAAAGAAAAATTCCTCTTGGAATCTTAGGAATTTCTTTGGAAAGAAAAAAAAAATTAAAGGCACAAAAGAATTCAGGGGAAAAGTTGTCTCTACCGAGGCTGACCTAACACTGTACTTCAGGCGTGCGAGTAAATGCTAGACGGTGCAGGGAGCTGGAGGCGGAAATTGTCGTACACCAAGCTATGAAACCATCACGCTGCCAGACGCGAAGTAGTCCTGTCCAGACGGCTAGACATACCAATTCGCTGTCGTGGCCGTAAAGTCGAACAGTTGAAAGTCACATAGGTCGTAGTTCGACGATGACCTGCATAAGAAGAAGGTAGATAAAAAAACGAATGATCCCTGATCTGAAAAACCCAAGATTGAAGTTTACAGACAAGTGACCACACTAAAGACAAGTCAATGAAAGTGCAATTATGGGGATAAAAAAACACTCCAGCTTTACATAAATTCGGAAAATGGCGGAAATAAAGGTAATTGCTTGGCGTGTTCTATCTAACTGCTAGAATTCAAGAATACGCATATTCTGGTACTGGCGGAAACAACGGATAGTATCTCTCCTTCGTCCATGTAGATTTTAAATTATTTTGCATTTAGGCCGTGCTTCCACAATCTTAATATTAGATATAAAAATGACACAGTGATGATATTAAAAGCACAAAGGAAATAAAACAAAGCGAAAAGAAAAGCCTGAACAACGATTTTAAGAAGACATGCATAATACACATTGGAGATAATCCAAATCTAGCAAGTATAACAATTTAAATGGAGACGGGATACCAGCCATTGTCTTGAAGAAATGTGCGCCTGAATTGGCCCCTGTCTTCTCCAAATTATATAATTACTGCCTCAAACTGTTGGAAGTCCTCATCCATTGTTCCTGTATTTAAGAACTCTAGAGACCCTTCTGGCCTTTCTAATTATCGTTCTATCAGACTCCTACCCCTCTTCGCCAAAGTCTCTGAAGCTTTAATAAACGCCGAAGAGGTTAAGCACTTTACGTCCCATTATCTGCTCTCCGACAAGCAATATGGTTTCCGCTTTGCCCGTTCTACAGCTGATGTGCCTACGGCTATAAGTGAAATCGTTTACCAAGCTCTTCATAATAGCGGAGAATCTCGTGCCTTGGCTCTAGATATCACCAAAGCGTTTGATAGGGTTTGGCATGCTGGCCTTCTTCGCATGCTTCAGGGTTATGGAATTTCAGGTCGATTGTTTGACTTATTACACTCATTCCTGTCAAACCGTGTATTGAAGGTCGTTCTCAACGGATTCTCTTCCAGCTCCCATCCCACGAACGCAAGTTTTTCCCAAGGCTCGATCCTAGGCCCTAGTCTGTTCCTTATCTTCATCAACGATATTTCTGACGTGTTTTAACAGAGGACGCAGAATGCAACATCGAAATCCGAAGGCACATAGATATATGGAAAGATGTCTTCACCCCCCACAAAAAAAAAAAAACGAAAACAAAAAAAGTTGATACAGGATAATTTTATTAGAAACAATGAAAAAATGTACTGAATTGCTATGTAATATTAGTCCTCACATATGACAGTAGATGCTGAACAATCTCAGCTCAGATGAAGAAGTCATTCCAGGCCAAAAAAGATTCACAAAATGATGCTGGGAAAACTATGGTCTGAACACGTAAGGGTGCTCACCCGCCCTCGGATTCTTCCGTAGGGATTTTCAGAGGAGGAGAAGGTTCTTTTTTTTCCTGTCGGAGTACATGCTGCATTTGTAGTATCTGTTCCGTTCCCTTGCGTACCTCACACGTTGCGTAACATCTGTTGCGTAGCGATTGGTATGACCGGCTATGACTAACTGAAACAATTTCTGACCAGCTTACACAAGCTATGAGCAGCTAAAAGCTGCTTAGGCAAGCTTTGACCAACTTAGACAAGCTAAAACCAGCTTAGATCAGCGGCCCTAGTAGAAACACTCGGGTCGCCATTTTAAAACCAACCTGACTCAGTGGGAGGTGGAGGTTAATGCAAATCTTGGATTGAACACATGAGCAACGACAAAGTCTTAGAGAAAAAAAAAAACACGCTTATACTTAGCATCAGGAAGAAAAAAATTGAAATTGACACATAAGAGGAAGGAAGGCCTAGAAATTTTGACACACATGAAATATTAAAGGCAAAAAGAGACAAAGAAAAACAGCACTGAATCTACTTAATGAGGCTGCGTAAACAGTTGACACAAGAGGGATTAAGAGAGATAGCAAACAGACTTTTCTAACAGCTATAATTCAGAGGAAATTTGTGGAGAGTCATGATAATTCACGTCCTGAAGGAGGGCAGTCATAAAAGAAGACATGTACCACCTTTTGACGTAAACACTAAAGTGTTCTGTTATATTTTCTCCTAATTTTGCAATTGTGTTACCTCTTGTTTTGTGTGCTGTCACTACGAAAGATAAGTCGAACCGGATCCCAGTCCAAAGAATGGAAAGGAATTTTATTATTTACAACGCTATAATTTATATAATAGAATCATGCGAACATATGCAAATCTGCCAGAAGGCTGAAAATAATAATTATGGTAAAAAAGAACAACTTAAAAACTGAAAAATAAATTCATGACATCAGGGACTATCACGCGTGTATAACACGAAAGAACTGCTAAGAAGTGAATTGGAATTGGCTCGTTATAAACGTGTTCGGATAATAGAATAATATCTCGAAGTTTCTCGTGTGGTCGTAAACGAGAAATCGATATCTGAGAGTTGTAATAGGCATTTTCATTACGAATTCTTTGTCTATATCCAAGATACAGATTTCACATGACGAAGATTATCCGGCTGACATAGCTTTTTTTTTGTTCGTTATCACACGTGTAAGTGCTTTTCTATCTTTAATTCTTTGTTCTTCCTACGGACTTTTTTTATTCACTTTCTTTCTTTTTTCTTTGTCATCATTCTTTTGTTATTTAGTTTTCTTTTTTTTTTCCTTTCTCATTTAGTTTCTTCCTTTCTTTCATTCATTCATTTATTTTCTTTCTTTTTTTTTCTTTCATACTTTTTCCAGTTCTTTCTTTCTTTCTTTTTTTCTTTTCTTTACTCTTTTTTCTTTCTTTCGTTCTTTTTTCTTTCCTTTTATTTCTTTCTTTTTTCTTTTCTTTCTTTCTTTTTTTCTTTCTTTCTTTCCCCCTTTCTTTTCTTTCCTTTCTTTCTTTCTTTTTCTTTTTCCCTTTTTTAATTTCGTTTCTTTCCTTTTTTTTCTTTTCTTTCTTTCCCAAAGTTCGTTGTTCTTTCCTTTGTTTCTTTTTCTTTCATTTCTTTTCCTTTTCTTTTCTTTTCTTTCTTTCTTTTTTCTTTCTTTCTTTCTTTTTCCCCTCTTTCCCTTTTCCCTCCAGTTCTTTCTTTCTTTCTTTTCTTTTCTTTTCTTTTTTTTTCTTTTCTTTCTTTCTTTTTTTCTTTTCCCCTTTTCTCCTTTTAATTCCAGTTCTTTCTTTCTTTCTTTTTTCTTTCTTTCTTTCTTTCTTTCTTTTCTTTCTTTCTTTTTTTCCTTTCTTTCTTTCTTTTCCCAGTTCTCTCCTTTTTTTTCCAGTTCTTTTTTCTTTTCTTTCTTTTTTCATCTTTTTTTTCTTTTTTCTTTCTTTTTTCCCTACTCCTTTCTATTTCCAGTTCTTTCTTTCTTTTCTTTCTTTCTTTCTTTCTTTCTTTCTTTCTTTCTTTTTTCTTTTCCCCTACTCCCTTTTAATTTCTTTCAGTTCTTTCTTTCTTTCTTTCTTTTCTTTTTCTTTCTTTCTTTCTTTCTTTCTTTCTTTCAAAGTTCGTAATTTTCTGTTTTCATTTTATTTTTCTTTTTTCTTTCCGTCTATTTTAATTTTTTTCTGTTTTCATTTATTTCTTTATTTCTTTTGACTTTTCTTCAAATGTTCGTTAGATGATTCATTTTTCATTTTTCTTTCTTTCTTTCTTTCTTTTCTTAAAATTCATTATCTCTTCTCGTTTCATTTTTCTCTCTTTTTTCTTTCTTTCTTGTCTTAAAATTCGTTAGCTCTTCTCTTTTCATTTCATTTCTTTCTTTCTTTTTTTCTTTTTTTTCTTTTTCTTTCTTTTTCTTTTTTAACTTTTCTTTCTTTTTTTCTTTCTTTTCTTTCTTTTCTTTTTTACCTTTCTTTTCTTTCTTTCTTTCCCTTCTTCCAGTTCTTTTTTCTTTCTTTCTTTCTTTCTTTCTTTTCTTTTCTTTCTTTTCTTTATTTCTTTCTTTCTTTCTTTCTTTCCTTTCTTTCTTTTCTTTTTTTTTCCCCCTACTCCCTTTTACTTCCAGTTCTTTCTTTCTTTTCTTTCTTTTTCTTTCTTTTTTCCCTTTCTCCTTTTTTTTTCCAGTTCTTTCTTTCTTTCTTTCTTTCTTTCTTTCTTTCTTTTCCTTACTTTTTTACTTTCTTTCTTTCTTTCTTTCTTTTCTTTCTTTTCTTTCTTTCCTTTCTTTTCCCCTACTCCCTTTTATTCCAGTTCTTTCTTTCTTTCTTTCTTTCTTTCTTTCTTTCTTTCTTTCTTTCTTTCTTTTTTCTTTTCCCTCCCTTTTACTGCCAGTTCTTTCTTTCTTTCTTTCTTTCTTTCTTTCTTTCTTTCTTTCTTACTTTCTTTCTTTTCTTTCTTTTTCTTTCTTTCTTTTCCCTTTCTTTTCTCCTTTTAATTCCAGTTCTTTCTTTCTTTCTTTCTTTCTTTCTTTCTTTCTTTCTTTCTTTCTTTCCTTTCTTTCTTTCTTTTCTTTTTCCCCTACTCCTTTTTTACTGCCAGTTCTTTCTTTCTTTCTTTCTTTCTTTCTTTCTTTTTACTTTCTTTCTTTTCTTTTTCTTTCTCTTTCTTTCTTTCTTTCCCTTTTACTTCCAGTTCGTAATTTTTCTGTTTTTCATTTTCATTTTTCTTTCTTTATTTCCGTCTATTTTTCTTTTCCCCTTCTTTTCTTTTCTTCAAATTTTCGTTAGATGATTCATTTTTACATTTTTCTTTCTTTCTTTCTTTCTTTCTTTCTTTTTTCTTTCTTTCTTTCTTTCTTTCTTTTCCCTACTCCTTTTACTTCCATTCTTTATCTCTTTCGTTTTTCATTTTTCTCTCTTTCTTTCTCTTTCTTGTCTTAAAATTCGTTAGCTCTTCTCTTTTCATTTCATTTCATTTCTTTCTTTTTTTCTTTCTTTCTTCAGTGATTTTCCACAACTTCGTTGTTCTTTATTCTTTATTTCTCTATTTTGACTTCTTTCTTCTTCACTTCGTGTATTTTTTTTTTCTTTCTTTCTTTCTTTCTTGTCTTAAAATTTTTCTTGTTTTTTTCTTTCTTTCATTTTCCTTTTCCCTCTTTATCTAGTTAAGTATTCTTTCCCTTTTTATCTAGTTAAGTATTCTCCCGATTTAAGTCACTTTTCGCTGTTTCTTTTGTTTCTCCTTTCTTCTTTCTCCCTTTCTTTTTATTGCATCTCTTTCATTCCCTTGCAAGCTTAACGTCAATATTTATTTTAACTTTCTCTCGTATCTTTCTTCAATTTTCTCTATTCTTTTCCGGTTTCGTCCATAATGCTGTCTCACTTTTTACTATTTTTGTTTCAGTTTCTCATAATTTAGTTAATCCGTACTTCGCTGTTTATTAATCTCTGGTTTCATTAATATGGCTGCATATTTAAACTATTTATCTTCTTATCTCGGATAAAAGAAATGGCATTTTTATGGGGTCTTGTTTAACAGAGTGTTGCACAAAAATGTCTTGCAAAGTTCTTCTGCTAAAGACCACTAGATATCGTTGCAATAATTAGTACAAAAGAAAATAATGCACAAGTATCTCTCTCTCTTTCTCATTTAGCCAGAGGATGAAGTCCTCGTTTTCTCATTATGTGTCATTTCATTTTCCCAGTAAAGTACACGGTATATAATACACTAAGACAACTTGTGGACATACAGGCACTTTCAATAATTCTACAACGCCAATAAAGAACTATTCTCAAAAGGTAACTCTTTTCCTTTTTCATTGCTTAGATGTGGCCCATTGCCAGTTGGAGCACCTTCACACATAAGTATATAGTGATTTTCTGAGCACGCCTTAGATGTGGCACAAGGCCGGAAGTATGGAGCCCCTAGTGAGGAACAAACACATTACTTCAGTCGTGGTTTTCAGTTGTTGATCTTAGCAAGACATGCTTTTTTACCCATACACCACGCCGAGGTGCCCAAAGTGATTTTCTAGACCCGGCTTAGATGTGGCACAAGGCCGGAAGTATGGGGCACCCAGTGAGGAACGAACTCACTACTCAGTCGTAATTGATCTAGTAAGACAAGCCTTCTAAACATTACACCACGCCGAGGTGCCCAAAGTGATTTCTAAGCCTGGCTTAATGAATGATGTTGCCCTTGAAACAAGGCCGATTCACTATCCTTCACCTCATCCCTTGTATGGGGCGCATCTATTCACCTGAGGAACGAACTCATTACTCAGTCTATTCACTATCCTTCACCTCATCCTTATCTCCAGTTGCGATAATTGATCTTGCCTTGAGCTTATTCAAGACAAACTTTCTAACCATTACACCTATCCACTATCCTTCACCCATCCTTATCTCCAGTTGTTTGATCCCAAAGTTGATTTTCTAAGCCTGGCTTAGATGTGGCTATTCTATCCCTTCACCTCATCCTTATCTCCAGGCCGACCTCATCTCCAGTTGCCTTGATCTATCCACTATCCTTCACCTCATCCTTATCTCAGCACCCAATGAGGATCTATCCACTATCCTTCACCTCATCCTTAACTCACTTCTCAGTCGTAATTGATCTTCTCCTCATCCTTATCTCCAGTTGCCCTGATCTATCCACTATCCTTCACCTCATCCTTATCTCCAGTTGCCTTGACAAGCCTTTCCACTATCCTTCACCATTACACCACGCCTTGATCTATCACTATCCTTCACCTCATCCTTATCTCCCAGTTGCCTTGATCTATCCTCTATCCTTCCCTCATCCCCTCCAGTTGCCTTGATCTATTCAAAGATTCACCTTTTCTTCCATCCTGGCTTAGATGTGGTCCTTCACAAGGCCAAAGTATCGGGGCCCTGATCTATCCTGTGAGATCGAACTCACTACACAGAGGTAATAGTTCTAGCGTGACAAGCTTTCTAACCATTACAATAATGAAATTTCAGATATTTAGAAATATCATCATCATGTATCATCACAAGGTTGCTTTCGAATGGTGAAATTTTTATCTTTATTCTATATTGATGAAATAACCTTACCATCATTCATGACTGGTGGAAAGGTTGTTTTTAAAATGATGAAATATCATCATCATTCGGGATCATACAGACAGGAGCTCTTCAGGTTAGTAACTAATTCTTTCCTCTTGTTGTTTTTACTTTCAGTATGCTCTGTGAGTGTCAGTCTCCCCAAGCCGTCTTGCCTCATTATTTGTCTAAGAAATTTCAGCTCTCTCTTTTCTGGTTCTCCTTTTCCTTATGACATCTTTGTTGCTTGCAGGTATGAAATTCTTCACATCTTTCTGAAGAACCGCGTTTTTTTTGCCTTCAATCTTCTCTTCAACTCTGGGGAAATTTACAAGAATTCGTTGCTATATAGGTGAGTCAACGTTGCATAAATAGATCAACACACTTTCCTTTTCTCTTTCTATATTTTTCCTGTTCTCATAAAGGACATAGATGAATTGAATCGTCCGTTTATATAGAAAAGAGGAGATGGGAATAGTTAGCATTAGCTCTTAGCAGCATGCTAAGCTCTTAGTGATTCGAGCAGAGAGGAAATCAGACGAGACTGTCCTTCGGCATAGTCTCGTCTGGGAAGCTAGACAAGTCCTAAACCTTTATTACGGGTTCTACTGGCAATTTTTGCCTGAGCTTACGGTCTCGGAATCGCCTCACGTAAAAAAGACCTTGTGCCACATCCCGCTTTTGTCGGAAGGTCTGGGTAAATACCTAAGTATTAGCCGTACGATAAGCTCTTAGTGACTATCGAACTCTCTGTCTTCGGGCTGAGAGGAACTCAGACGAAGTTATGTAAAAGGGCATAGTCTCATCTGGGGAGGTTGACAAACCCGACCCCGTTATTGCGGGGTCTACGCGGAAATTTTGCCCACGTTAAACAGACACTAGCTCTTCAGGTCGCTAACTAATAATTTCCTCTAGTTGTTTTTGCCTTTAGTATGTTCTGTGAGTGTCAGTCCTCTTGCTTCATTATTTGTCTAAAACATTTAAGCTCTCTCTTTCTGGTTCTCCTTTGTATGTGTTTTATAACTTCCCATTTTCTTTAGGACATCTACATTGCTTATGGATATGGCATTCTCAAAATCCTTCTGTAGGACCAAGTTTTTTTTTTGCCTTAAGAAATTTGAAATGTACCATGCATTCATTGCTATATCAATGTTGTATAACAATCGGCACACATTTTTTTTTTCTAAAAGGTTTTCCTGTTGTCATATAGAATGTAAATGAATGGAATCGTCCTTTTATGTAAATAAGCGGAGCTAAGCGGAGATGAGGAGAATCAGCATATGGTCTTAGCTGCGTGCTAAATACTTAGTGTTTGTCGAACTCTCTATCTTCAGGTAGAGAGGAGCCCAGACGAGACTATGCTGAAGAGTAGACTCTCGTCTGGGGAGGTAGACAAACGTGACCCCGATATTACGGTATCTACGGAGAATTTTTGCCCTAGCCTTCAGCCTCGAAATCGACCAACATAAAAACTGGCCTTGTGCCAGATTGTGGGGAGGCTAGGTTAATACCGAGTCAGCATTAGGTGTTAGCTACGTGTTAAGCTATTGGTGCTCCTCGAATTCTCTGCCTTTGGACAGTGAGGAATCAAGTCGAATGGTAGATTCTCGTCTTGGGAGAGGTAGACAGACGCGACCCCGTGGTTACAATGTCTACGGTGAATTACTGTCCAAACCTACGTGTAGTAAACATTCTATTTCATTACTTACCTACGATTCTGTCTTATTTATTTTTCTCATACAAAATCTGTGTACTAAGAATTTGTTTCTTAGATTTTGGAAGGCATCTTTCGCTATTCAACTCCTCGTTCGAATATTGGGGTCGCATTTTCCCATCTTCTCTTAAAACACATTCCTCATAATTAAACCCCAAAATGTTCTTGATTTTGGCATTTCGAATCCGTAGGTCGCATATTGGACTTTTTTCGTCTTTCTTACAACCATACACTCTGTCTTCTTACAATTGATGATTAGCCTTTTTCTTTTCGGCCGCGTTTACTATCTTGTATCACACAGTCCGGCGCTCTGTACTTTGTTTCTGGCGACATGTTCTTTTTATACCGCACTGAAATGCCTGTCTCTTCAAATTAAAGCTGTCAACATGAGGGAATAAATCCCGTGAGTTCGCCCGCTTTCATTTCTAACATCATAAATTTATAATTAGATAAGGTTGAATGCAAACAAAGTGCATTATACAAGAATATGATTAAAAATAAACTTGTGATAATCAGAGAAAAATGAGACTTCGAGAAAACAAATGATTGACTTAAAAAAAAGAGAAAATAGAAAAATAATATAAACGAAATATAAAAGACAGAAAGGAAATGGATGAAATCAAGAATACAAGTGATTATTTCTTAGTTTTTTTTTTGTTTTTTTTTAATGCTTTTAAATACATCACGCAAGGTAGGCTTGTCGTAATATCCTAATCGAAAATATGAAATTCTGTAATGGTTACGAATAATGACAGTATTCCTCAAGCGTATTAGAATTCTGTCATTTTCCTGCGTCATATACGTATTAATACAACGTTTACCATCGAGAAGAAAAATAAGAAAATATCTATTAAGATACACAATCGTAAGTCAGTGACTTTATTTACTTAGCTCCGAATTATATGTACCTGTCCATAATTGATGGATACAAAAAGCTCGTTAGAAGAACATTAATGTGCCAAAGAAACGTTTAGATAAAATATACCTGATGTCGCTTATAAGATTTCACTTGTGATCCTGTCCTTAATATTATCCACTGAAAAAATAAAACACTTTAACAGAAGGGATTGACAGATTCTCCTTAAGATTTGGAAACGGATGTTGTTCAATATTTAGTTTTCAAAATTGGAAAAAAAACTGTAAATGGCAGACAGT